TTTTAACATAAATCCCCAAAAATCACCTTTTTTAGGCGGTTACACTAGTTGTGCCCCTTAAACATTACAGTATCAAAATTTGAATACATGATAACTTAGCGATATCTTTTATGTTATGAAAATAACCACTAACATCGTACACTTTTGGAAAAACTTAGAGAAATGTTGATACTTGAACAAATTGTTATAATACAAAAAAATATTAATTGTTAAATGATTGTAAATGCCAAATCGAGTTTTAAATGCTACAATATTTTTTTGATACATTCATATATTTTTATATATAATATTTGAAAAGCAAACTATGTATTCTATAAGTTGTCATGATGAATATCTATTAAAAGAGAATCCTTTGGTTGACCTCTCTGATGAGACTACATAGGATATATTTTTGCCAGTGATGTGAATATATATTATAGTAATATCTTAAAGGACTGTTTTGACTTGTATCATATTTAAGATCTATAATCTCAAGTGAAAATCTGTTACCACTACTGCTTGATATCAAACTGTTCAAGGTGAATATCAAAACCATTGGTTGCTACACCACATTCTTACTACTGTGCCATGACCATATTATGTATATTGGAATTAATAAAAATTGAATTTTGAAATCCATTATAGGTTTAAGATAACGGTAAAGATAGACAAGAAAATTTGCGATAGTTATTTCAAAACCCAAATACCTAATCATAGTAACATAAACACCAATTTCAAAATCCACTAGATGTATTTATACCTATAGTATTGCATTCAAACTAAATTGTTATTAATGATTTCATTCTAGCAGATAATGCACATTTATCCAGTTTCGATCAACTGTAGAGTATCGTTGTAGAACCAAAGGTTCTATAGAGCCATCACAAGCTTTTGAAACTAATAAAATAGAATATAAAAATCCATTTTTAAAAGTTTAAGGAAATGGTAAAGTAAAAAATGGCAATGCTATTTTCAAAACCCAAATAATCGTTTATCAATACCAAGTCCAAAATCCACGACTAGATATGTATTTATACCTATAGTCTTGTATCCAAACCAAATTGTCATTATCGATTTCATTCCAGCAGATGATGCACATTTATCCATCAGTTTCGGTCAACTGTAGAGTATCGAAAATCAGTGTCTGTTTTTCAGATATCGTGTCCGAGTACACGGTCAGTAAATGCATCCAGTGGAGCGAGGTTCTCCTACAGCCGGTATGTGACAACGAATTAATTCGGCATTTGTGTCGTGACAAGAACGAGGTGACATCGAATCGGGGAACGCGTGTGCGGAACCGGACTACAGCTCCGGGATCAGCGGAGGGTCAAGCCGGAGGAACAAAAAATGCACGGGGTAAAAAATTAAAGTTCTGGTCTGTGCGTGACATAAAGTTTTAATCTGTGAAATGACATAACAAGGTAACAAGGAAAATGTGTATAATTATTTTCATGAGTTGCTCTTAGGACTCGCCCGTAGGTAAGCGGTTAAGAGCGGCGGGCTTGTTTCAGAGGTCCCGAGTTCGATACCCACTTCGAGCAGCCTGTTGTCAGGCAGCAGTGACAACGATTTTCACTTGAAAATATAGATAGCAATATGTTTCCAAGTGAAAATAGCCCTTGCCCGGCATTGCTGCACCAATAAAATGTCAGCCCTATTAGATTAATTCTAATAACAAAATCATTAAATATGGATGGATTAGCCATTGGGTTACCATCTAAAAAAAATACGAAGGAAGGAGAAGTTTCAGCCCAACAGCTCATAGGACGTAAGGTTCTGATTGCTGTTCAAAAAAAAAAAGTTGCTCTTGAATATTTTTTAATATAATTGTAGCTACCCAAGTATTATGCATAAAGCATGCGTATATTTTTTATATTGTATGTTAGTATTCAAATTAGTAAATTTTTAAATTTTAAAATTATTAGTGTAATGTTATAAATTTACTGTACATAGCTGATTGAAGCATAAATAAATAAATAAATGAATAAATAAATAAATAAATAAAATCACAAAAAAAATTATATAAAATCGTTCGGTATCATCAGTCTATAATAATAAATACTTGATAATACACAGTTGAGACAATTCATAATGACATCAAAAGTAACTGATAAATACGTCAAAATTTTCTTTTTTCTTGGCCTTGAACGAACTACCCTGTACTAGTTGCAAAATAATGATATGTAATTTTGTCCTTAGTATAATTATGCCATTTTGTTTGAAAGTGAATAAATTATAAAAATTCCATCAAACACCTGATAATTGCAATAAAATTGATCGAGATCACTAGTACCGGCATAAGTTTATTGATTTCAATAGAAATACTTACAAATAAATAAAGCCCAAAAAAACAAGAAAAATAACTTCAAAATAAACTTTTGAAGACGCGATACACGTTTAAACTGATGACAGGGACAAGACTACGACAATGACGCTCAACATCTGACAAGATTGTGATTATTGCTTTCTTCACGTTATATAGTCACAAAAACTAAAACTAACCAAATAAGGCCACTGTGTCATTTTGTCCATATATTTAATTTTGTCCGTATTTCCCCCACATTATACACATAGACGTGTATTTTTTATGTAAGCAATCTCTAAATTTTGTCTGATTTTGTTTTGTAATGTAAAAACAGTCTCTTACACTATTGTGTTTAATATAAAGGTTATCCCTATGGTCAAATTAAAATTTTCAATATCGCTATGAGCCATCGGTAATATTTTTGCAGACTATATTGACCAAAAATGGGTCATAATAGGCGACATATCATTGTAAGAAAAGTCATTCATCCAACTTGGAAATGTAATTACATCATAATAAACCATTGGTCATAGACAGAATCTCCATAAACAGATAGGATTCAGCAAAGTATATATTGTTTTTGCTATAACATACACCATTTTATTTCTAGACATTTTTTGGAGACTATTCGTTATCAATCAAAATTTTTCTGTTTTTATTCATCTCTATCCATCGTAAAATTAAATTAAAACGCAGGTTATGTATTTAAGTTTCCTATTGTTATGTATATTCATTTATGGCTAGTGCACGAGTTTTGCCGCATCTGCATTAACTTTTATAACCGACATTAAAATCGTACATTAGTACACGTGCGACCGCTAGAGCATTTAAAACGTCGTACTTCATAATACTTCATAAATCATCAACGCTCCGAAATTGCCCCGTTTAAGATGAAGAAGACCTCTGGTACAAAGTCTTTGATAAGACCGAACGATTTATTTGGGTCGATGTGGAATATACTCCTAAGATTGTATATGGCGACGATGGGTCATAGACTAACAACAAAAGGCTCACAGAAAATTGTAGACTTTGTATTGATACTAAAAAATAAAGTAAAATATACCGATATTAACGTTTCTATTTTTTAACTTCCCGAAGCAAAAGTTTAGGTTATGAGCAAAAATCTGATTTGCTCATTTTTTTCCACATTTCAAGTTTTTCCTCAAAAATCCTGAGCGAATTTGATGCCTTACGATGAATCTCGACAAGCACTCTTATTGATTAGTTTGTGCAACTATTGACCCAAGCTTTTCTTTATAATTGGCAAATAAGTGCAAATTTTTTTGACAAAAACCCTGAGCCAATTTTGATAATTTTAAAAATTGATGAAAAAATATCAGCTGAGAAAAAATATAAAAACATAACAATTTTTTTTATAGCGATGAAGATCATGGCCTTACAGAACATACTAACATATAATAAGTCTACAAAAAGAATTTTGATTATAAAAATTCATCAAAGTTTGAAATTATAAGGGCATGTATGCATTAAGCTCGAGCTCTTTTTCGTTCAATAATGTATATTATTCAAACTAGTCATCGGAAATAACTAGCATATTTGATGAATTTGCATAAAATTGAAAAACCTGCAGTAGTTTCTAACATTATGAAGCCATACAGCTACTCGTCATACTTATAAATCACTCATAAATATCAATATGCTCATAATAATAAGTCGAATATGTATACACATCAGAAAGTTGATGCAACTTGTCTCTAAGCAAAATGACACTAATAATTATTTATATCTTGATTTTGAGTTAGCTGCTCATATTATTATGGTCAGTAAAAGGTGGTCAGAATATTGTCACAAAATTGAATAATTTTCAAAGAGTCTAGAGCGCTCCACGTTGAGAATCACTGGTCTAGATTAAATACATTATAAAATCGAAACGTAATAAAATTCAATAAATTCGAAGATAAAATAATACAAAGCAAAAAATACAAACTAACAAATTACGACAAGTAATAAATGATTTATAACTAGTTCCACATAAACTTGTCTAACCATCTCAATACAAAAGAAATTTACATATGGCATGACACGAATTATAAATCTAGTTAATCATTGCAAATGAAGTAACTTTAATACAAAATTTCCATACATGAATCTGTGATACCGTTTTTATTTATAAGTAATAATTTTATGTGCTTCGATAATTAGCTGAATCTGAAACTGAATAAAAATCGATTCAAATCAGAAACTTTTGTGATATAGAGATGGTGCTTTATAAATGTCTTGCCTAGCAAAAATGGTTATGCTATTCTTCGATATCGAGATCTACCTCTAATAAAATTTAAAAAATATTTGTTTTAGGAATTTTTTCCTCGAATAATTTTAATTTTTCCACTCACGAGTTCAAATAAATCAAATCTCCAGCAGACCGAGCGAGTCAGACTTGTTGCAACAAGAGGGTGAAATTTGCTGCATAAAAACCCATAATCATGGTATTTAATAAGAGCAATAATATAAATGTAATAATGTTACATCGGTGAATAACATCAATCAACCGATTTCAGTTTGTTGGCGAAACATACGGTTGAAAACCGCATGCACTGCAAGTGAGCGGCCGATATTAAAACGATCTCTGCCAGTCGAAATGATTATGAAACCGCGATAAACATTCCGCAACGCGTCTATTGAAAAGTTCAACTTTCAGGATATATATTATTAATATTTTCATTTAAATATCAAGTTAATATTTTTATAAAAATACCTTCGATAGTTTTTGCGAATCCGGGACAAGTAGAGTAGTTCTTTACTGCAAATAAGAAGAAAACATAAGGGTAAGAAAAAAATAATATCACATATTTTCATATATACATTTTTGATCATATAACTCTACTATTACGTTACTAAGCGCCCAGAAAAAAGTTATAAGCGTCCTTAGGTTTATGGCAAAAAATATTGAAAATTTATCTTATTTTTTTGGTATTACTATTTGTCCATGAATTTTTCTGACTAACAAGGAGAACCTCAAGTTTACTTTTTTGCATGGTGTTAAAGACGATAGTCAAACTGAACACTTTAAATTATTATAAACCTATGAGAAGTAATTGAGGGTTAATTGTAAAAATTTATGGAAGTTTTCAAAATTAGACCGCGCGCATTTTTAATTTTCAATTTCGTTGGTCAATGTAATAATTAAGCTGCATCGCATTATTCCATGAAACCTCTTTAGAATAAAAAAATAAAAAGTGAATCGTTTTGTCTCCTGGCTGTCCCTGTATACCCCGCCAATTAGGAAAAAAAGACCAGACTACAAAATTGATCAAAATGGCAAAAAAACATTCAATATGTTTTTTTATATAATTTTTTTAGAATGTTCCAATTTTCCTTGAATTTTACGACTGTAACCCGCCTGTAGGCTAAACCGTTCGAAATACAAAGATGCGATATATGGGGAAAAAACTAAGAATTTTGAGACCTCTCTAACGATGTATAATACTTCATATGGTTTCTTTATAAAAATATCGAATAGTGTGAATAGTTGCTCAAACCTATCTGTACTTTGCATTTCAAGATTTGAATATTCATACAAAATCTATGCTACAAACTAAACGAAACATGCAGAATTAAATTACGAATGAAATGATATATAATTCGATATGTGTGTTCATATAATATTCTTTAGACTTTACAAATTTTTTTGAATTCTCTAACGATAAAGTTGCTGGGACTTTTATTTAGATAGTTGTTTTTTTCATATGTGTTACATATTTGTTGTGGTCTAATTGGTTTGGTTTTTACAGTATAATTGGTAAAAGTCCAACTGGGCCTTTGTGCCCCCACCCTACCCTACTTGAATAACTACTATGATCATTACTGCCCATAAGTCTTTAAATACCATAAAAAAATAGGATTCACTTAACCCCTTTCGAGTACAAAAGCGCGAATATCAATAATTCCTCCATTCAATCGGTCTTTTACTTATCGAAGGCACCTTTAAAGTTTTTACTGCTAATTATATTATTATTTAATATCTATAACTCACGTCGATTTGCCGCTCGTAGCTGACGTTCGTATGAGCCATTGTTGTGGACTTCTATGCGGTAAACCTCAACTATTGAGCGAAGCCATTGTGAATTTTATTAAATGTAACAACATAAAGTGTTTTTCAAATACTGACTCTTTATTATGCAATGATGTATGATGAACGATGCAATAGTTTTTTTGCGCATTGCCTCATTCAGAAATCCTTCGAATTAATAAGATGGTTTAAGAAGTGAATAGATAGAATGCAGTTTATTTGCAAAATGCGGTTAGGAATATTGATTGTAAAAGATGTAGTTGCAGAACATGCAGTTATTGATTCTTAAAGAAAAACGTTAAAATGTGTTTATTCTGTAATAAATATTGTGTAACATGAATGGTTTTATCATAATATCTAATTATAATTTAATTTGTATTTGAAATACATAATGGATCTATAAAAAGCAAAAGTACTTTGTATAAATTAAATTCAAGTTGATAAAAAATTTCAGGCATAAGTGTTGTTTGACTAAAGTTTGGTATGAGATTAATTCTCTGGGCTTTTAGTGAAAATGACAAATATTTTACCAAATTGAATATGAGATCAATAATGTAAATTATTGAAACTTTGGAATAAATAGTATGAAGGTTACCATTAAAATTATTATAGATGTAAAACAATATTATAATTTGAATTAAAGAAACACCTTTGACCTGTCAAAATTCATCCCGTTCCCAAATGACATAAGTACAGTTATTTGCCCTTCCGCGCCCAAAGGTTCCAAACGGAACCCTATTTTAGCCATGTTAAGCTGATAGAGAAAATATGAACCCATATCATGCCAAAATTCGTAGTAAACATCCGAAAAACCTTCGTATTGTTATTTTATTCATACTATGTGCGATATCCGACCATAAACAATTTTCGCCGGGGTACTGCATACATCCTGCCCATACATGAGGACGTGAGAGACAAATCTATTTCATGTGTGCTAAATGTCTCAGAAGGAAGTTTTATCGTTAGTTCCACTAGATGGAGTTTACCCCTTGAACTCCACAAAGAATATCTGTAAATTGCGCGGATAAGAGTTAAGGGTCGAATGTACACCGACAGAAAAGTTTGAACTCGATAGTGTTTAATTTTATGTTAAAATAAATAACTACCTATATGTATAAATATATAGAGCGGAGCTTGAAGGTCCGCGGGTAAAAAAGTCCACCACTGATATCTCAAAAACAAATCAAGTTAAGAATTTTTTAACAACAATATTTGAAAGTAGAGGGATAAAGATGAATCACACTTGATTGTTACGACGTCGCTATCGAGAGATAAACGGCAATATTTGAAAATCCATAACAAAAGTGTTTTCTTTCGTTGTTAGTTTTTGGCTATGAGCACTATTGTTTAGTTTACGAGACCTTAATACAATTTTTAAGTATGTGTTATCTTAATGTTCAGTAATATGTATTGTTATTCTTAAGTTAGATTCAACAGTTTTTTTAATGAATAAGAGCTCTATAAAAGCTTTCAGTGGGTGGGGTAAAAAGGAACAACTAAACCTTTACCCTAGCAAAGGTGTAACCAATAAAAAATAGTAAATAAAAAATAAATTAAGTTGAAAGTAATTGTACAAGAAATAAATTAAATAAATGGTTATTCCAACTATGCTAATAAATATATCTGACAAAATACCAGATCAAGGTTATATATAGTGTTAGGTTATCAAGGTCATTATTAATAAGGTTATCTCTGTAAAAAGTGTACCCATAAAATTTTTATTTTCTATTACTTAAATAATGTAACTATTATTTTATAAAATTTCTTTAAAATTAAAATTAGATGTTGAACCCCCTGGCTGTCCCAATTTACCCCGCCTATAGGGTGAAAAAAATTAGGTTACAAATGTTCAAGAAACAGCATAAAAACACATTTCTACAGTGATGAATTAGTTGGGAGTTTTACTGAACATAGTCAGATAGTTGTATGTTTGATATGTGTTATTTGTTCTGATATGATTGTTTTAGTTCTCACAATATAATTGCTCAAAGTCAAATTGGACCTTTGTGCCCCGCCCTGTTATGCTTACTTGGTGCAATATGTAAGTCAACTAATACTAATGCTAACTAATAATATCTTAATTATTATTATTAAGAAATTAGTCGAAAGTTAAACGGTTTTTAGTATTTTTTAAATACTTTAAGAACTTACTTCCAGCGTCTTTACGACGTGCTATAAAATGAGAAGAGCGCAAAATAACTTATGACGCTGCTATCCGAGTGTCAGAATATTACAATAATAAGGTTGTAATTCAATTTTGCAACATGCCATTAAAATAAATTACAGGTGTGCCCATAATGTCGAACAGTTCTTGTGGTGTGCGTTTCGGCAGATGACTCACTTAAAACTTGTTAAATAATAAGTTAAAAATAATTATCAGTGCTCTCTCTACAAAACATTTGAAAAGTTTCAACTTCTAGTTCATATTTCTATACTAATGTTTTAAATCTTCCAATACGCCCCAGACTCTTATTATTCCTTATTTACACCATAAGAAAATTCTCTAGCAGTCCCTTAACATCGAAATAGAGTGTGACGACCCATTCGAATGGGTCTGACGTGTTTGTCTATTCATTGACAAGTCTGAACACTTAAACTTCACAGATCATTTTCCACGTAGAATTAGGTCGGATTACAAACTGCCCGTTACCGACTCAGTCGAAAACCACAAATGTTCCCATGTTACGATGAAGTATCATCAGTAGAAAGTTGAACGTCGTTTTATTAGATATACAGTTATACTGTTATGTGAAGGTTTCACAAGAAGTCGTGAGTAGGAGATCAATAAATAACTATATCATTTTAATTATCATCTATTTGTAGCTAATAAAAAAGTTCATTATGGTTTTTTGCCGAATCTCTTTGCTGGCGAGTTTTTGTCTATGCGGCTGTGTTTCTTGGAAAATCATACAGATTAGTAAAAATAAGACAAAATTAGAATTGTAGATCCGAAAATTCAGAAAAAACGTCCGTAATATTTTCTCTATAATTAACGAATTTTTATATCCGCGCGATTGTCGTCCTATTTTTTTTTAATTTTTACTTCATATGATATAAGCAGCAAATTGTGATCAAAATGAAAGAATTTGATTGGCTACTGCATAAAAAGTCTAAGCTCTCTGTTGAAAATAAGTTGTTGCTATATAAATCAATCATCAAACCAATCTGGACCTACGGAATTGAGCTCTGGGGATGTGCTTACAAATCAAATATAGCTATAATGCAGAGAACTCAGTCAAAAATTTTACGTACAATTCTTAATTCTCCGTGGTACGTGACAAATGAAACCATTCACAGCGACCTCAACATGAAAACGGTGCAATTAACGTTCAAAGAATTTAAGGAAAAATACAAACGCAAACTGGACTCACATTCGAACCCATCAATAGTTGACAATACTCAACCTTTTGGCATAAGAAGATTGAAACGACACTGGCCTTTAGACTTAGTCTTAGATTAGGTCTAATATAATATTATCATATTAATTGTTAAACTGAAAAGATCTCATTGGAGTTCTTCTTAGGCATCGCTCTTAAAAATTGTCAATTTAGCTCATAGGAATTTTTATGTATTTCTGATTGCTAAATAAAACAGAGTTTAAAAAAATGATTATATTAGTTTTGAAAGTTAAGTTATAATATATAGAGTGAAGTTGACAATTCAAGTTTGCAACTGTTTCTGACATTATCAATTCCTTATAAAAATACATATAAACCAATAAACAAATTACC